TTAAAACATTTTATCAAACCAACAACACAATAGCTACTCACCAACGATAATGATGATGATACACTAGTATATATATTCGTTTATTACATATATTGTATAAAACTATATTAGTTCATTTTTTTAATCATTTAATTGGGAAGGGGGATCAAAGTTAATTTTACTATCAACAACGGAGGTTCGTGTGCAGAGCATACACTTATTATGTTCACTAATCACGATAAGAAGAGAAAGAAATGAACAGACTGACTCACACAAAGAGCTGAACTAATTTTTATCTCTCTCTTATTTCTGATTGAATACCGAACAATCGTGCCAGAAAATAGGCTTAATAAAGTCTGGAACTCACCAATACTAAATATTACATAGAAACCATATGTATAGTATTTACAGTTAAACAGAGATTAAACTGGTCGCAGTTCTTAACCGATCTGTATCCTGACATGCCCAGCAAAGAACCTAGTGACCTACAATGGTTGGTGACTACGAGTTAACCTTTCACCTCAGCTTAATAAACTTAACACAGACACCACGCATAATGCCTACACACTAGCAATAACTTTCACATCTAATAACACCAAAACGTAACTTATATTTATGCACGCCTACGAGAACCTATGCATATAAAGGTTCTATTTATTTTATATTTGATTTTTTCTCTGTTAGTAAAAATATGTGCTGCAGTTCGTTAATTATCTTCAGCCAAGATATTCAGCAACTTCTCAAAACCCTTTACACTAAACTGCGATAACACTGTTTTAGGGTAGTCAAAATTGGATGGCGACTGGATTGTTTTGCTTCGTAACTAAACGACAGATTGGCCTTGACTCAATAACTGTCGTATAATAGAATTATGAAAATGTTTCGAGTAGAAAAAGGTTAAAGTTCAAAGTCATAAAGTCAAAAATCGTTCGTTGCGTGGTCAAGTGTATGTGCTGGTACGACTTGATTTACCCATAAATAACCCTCTTAATTAAAGCAATTAAAGTAACAATAAAACTGCAATTCAATAATCGCTTTTTTTTCTTGTTTTTCTTGTTTGTTTTTTTCTCTTCGTAGACGAAATATTTTATTTCTTCAACTTAAGAGGATGTAGAATATTTCTCATAATTTAATACAACTCCACTAGAGCACATAGAGAACTAAAAATCAGTGAACATTATAGCTCAGTAGTCACCATAGAATATTTTACTTTATGTATGGTAGTGTTAATAATATAAGATAATCCTATATCACTCAATCTAGGATAGCGGATGTAGTTCATAAAAGTATGATAGCTACCAAAGCGTGCATCTGCTGTAGGTGAACACAAGGCAACAATGATTGTGTTGGCTTGCTTATCAATGAAGAATAGTGATGTCATCACTTGCATATTGTTGTTTGGGTAGAAAGCGCCGACTGGACTTATTTCTTTGACTTTAGATTATAATGACGTCGAATACAGATAAACTGTTTAAATATGGGTAATTATAAAAATAAATTACTTACGTCACACACACACACACACACACACACGCAAATTGAACCTCATTTATGTATTTCTATAAAATACCCTCCGTAATAGAGAAGATACAGGTTTCATTATATAATAGAAACGTTTGGTGTATTTTATGTTTCATTGGAAATTTCCATTGATACGTTTTCGGAGATACATATGTGATGTAGAAGTTGTTCAGCTGAAGTATGAACATTGTCTTCAGAGAGACTGACCTAAATTTATCACTATTTTTATTTTACATGTAGGCTTCTCCATTAGAAGGGTTTATTGTTTACGAAACAATGCATTCGTTAAAGTTGCTACATTAAGTCTAAACACGATCCACAAATGATGATTCTAATGCATACTAATGACTGTTTTTTTTTTCAGTTGGATGCTTGGGAATTGGACTCATTGTTACAAAAGATGTCTTGACATGCTGTTAAAACAAGATTTCCTGTTCAACTTTTCTATATAGTATATACGACATTCACTTCAGGGCTTGAATTTGAAGAAGCGTTTATTGACTTGTACATAATAGGGGGTGACTTGAATTGTTAAACCTATGATTGTAGTTTTTTAATTAATACATAAAAAATAAGCATTTGTACAGGTCACCCTATTGTATGTTCATCCATGTGATTAGGGATTATGTAATTTGGGTAGGCCCTACAGCTGGTAAAAACTAACATTCAGTCAAACTGTGATGTTAATGTTGGCTTACAATCGATGACAGCTATATAATGTAACCTGGTTTACTATATTCTTGAAAGAGTAATAAAAACTTGTAGGCTGTAAAACTGATAACATATGCTTTTAAACTAATGATAAAGAAATCATTAATAATGAGACACGTTGTTCTATATGTCCTTATTATTATTCACAATTGTTTCATATCACGCGTGTGTGTGGTGATTTTGATACTTCTAACACAGGCTCGATTTTCGATATATGGTTGCACGTTCAACTACTATGAATGTACCCCAAAATCTATACTTCTAATTGAAACTTACTGATTTCTCTATCAACCAGCCTGGTGGTTAAAGCACTCGACTCGAATTCCCCGTTACCGAACATGCTCGACCTTTCTGCCGTGGGGGCGTTATAATGTGACGGCTAAACCCACTATTCGTTGGTAAAAAAGTAGCTCAAAAGTTGGGGAGGGGGAATGGTAACCAGCTGCCTTTCCTCAAGTGTATCACTGCTAGCGCAGATTGTCCTTGTGTAACTTTACGCGAAATTCGAAACAAACCAAACCAATTCTCTATCAACCACAACAACTAAGAGTCTCGGATATCTACTGTTTAAGTGGTCAGATAACACCTGAATGAGAATCACCTGAACATCTATTCAAGTTAGAAAGAATTGTGTCTTTAAGTTTAGGTAATATGAAAATTTTAATCATAAACCACATTCTGACACTAATTTCATTGGCATACGTTAATAATAGTTGTTTAATTAGATTTTGAAAGCGTAACTCTGTGAAACTGTAAAAGATTGTGACATGCACAGAAGAGCCGCACAAATATGGTTTGTAAAGCGCCATTTTATAGAGATTTGGGAAAACCACTCATGCTTCAGCGTCTCCTTTATTACCCAGACGTTACACAATTAAATATATTTACACATTTAGTTTTTTGTTCAGAGGATTTTGGATTTTTCCAAGTTTTTGATCTGTTTTTTTACTATCAGATTCTAGTATCATAAAGTCCATATCAATATATATATATAACGGTAAAGTAAACAACGTTGTAGTAAGTAACATTTCCTTCTTGAATGTGGAAATATGAATGATGCATGATTCTCTTGAAAATTTATAATTACATGTTTACCTTTTTATTGAATATAGAGGGCGCGAGTTGACAGCTTGACACTTTGAAATAACTTTAGATTTCGAAACTTGCGAGCTTGGTGTTCGAATGCTTGCGATACCACAAAATATTCCCTGCATTTTAATCGGTGTGTACCTTATAAGAGTGACAGTCAATCCCTTAGCGTGAATGGTGGGTGGTATGGTGCTGTTGACTATGGTCAGTAGTTCACAATTTGGGTCGGCGACAGATAGCCTCAATAGTTTTGTCTTAAATTCAAATACAGATTATTGTATCAATTGTCTTTCTATAAGATATTTTAACATCAAAGCTGCTTAGACATCAAAAGATTAGAAAGAAGAGTAAATTAGCAAAACATATGAAGTTCCTCTATTTTTTCCTCACCAAAACAATTTTCTATATTAGTTTTGTTGTTTTTCGTGAATAGTTTCATATTAGGTGCATTTTCTTAATGTTATATACTACAGTCACCGTGATAACTGTGGCCAAGCGGGCTATAATACGCGAATTTCTAGAGTTTACAAGCAGATGGGGCAATATATGTTTGTTTACATCACAATCATAATAAAGGTTCAGACTTTTATAACCTAACAATTTCTAGAGTTTACAAGCAGATGGGGCAATATATGTTTGTTTACATCACAATCATAATAAAGGTTCAGACTTTTATAACCTAAAAGCTTCGTGGGTAACTTTGATTTGGGGATTAGAACTTGTAGCTTGTGGGTAGCTAATATCATACATCTTTTCCTCTAGGACCGCCCGAGTTTAATATAAAATACTTTTTAGGAAGACGTTCTATTTGTATGAATATGTATGTTCCAAGTTTCGTTAACATTATAGTTACATATAGGAAGGTGTTCCAAAACCTTTGGATGTACAACATGTTACAAGGTTTTTAAGTTACACGTAATCACATTAACCCGACAGTTTTGACTTCATTAACGTTCACTTTATTAAGAACGTCCGATCATTCTATCTTGTCGCAACTCGTTTATTTGACAAATCGAACCACGCTAATGACGTAACTGACTAAAACGATTTCATCCATCTCACTCCAATTTGATCATATGTACTATCTGAGCTTTAAAATAAGACTCGTTTCATTAGTGATTGGGAATTCACATATCATAATGAAATTGTAGCTTATCATGTATTACATACAAAAGTTGCATAATATTTGACTGCTGAGTTACTTGTATCATGTTTTCCAAAGAAGTTGTCACCTAACTTGACTTTAAATCTAAAACATATAAAACTAGTCAAAATTTAAAACGCGAATCATTAGATCCGTTTGTTGGATGATTTTTAAAATCAAACTTGTACACAAGAAGGCAGTTTTGTTGTTTTTTTCTGATGTTTGATATAGATCATCAAATCCATAATAACTTGTAGTTTCAAATTCAGTATAAAATTAAGAATTTACGTAACTGAAATTTATAATGGATTTGTTTAGGAATATGTTAATCTTCCTAATTTTCTACATGCTCTTTACCATAATATTTTAACTTCGCTAATTAAAAACTGAAATAAAAACTCCAATGATCCTTTCCTCTCCACCCCCTCAGTTTTGAATCCTCGTCATTCTATGACAAGCACAGAGAAAGCACTGTGAGTCTCCCAGGATTTTATTTAACCTTTTACTTATTGTCATTCCCTCCCAGGTGCTTCAGAAGGAAATCGAAGCTCGGGGAAAATACGTTTCGTCCCTGTTAAAGCTGTGTGAACGGTTGGGGGTGGGGCCGGCGGACGGGGTTCTCATTTGGGACAATCAACGAGTTCGAAGAGTAGCTTCAAATCTAGAACACCGGTGGCATGCCCTGTGGCTACGGTCTTTGGAGTGGCAGTGTGTTCTGGAGGAACTGATTAACAAGTACAAATCGGTAAGTTTTGTAGATTAATTGTAAAATACTGATGATTTACTGGTTTTTACCAAAGTTCTGTAACCCTGAAAATGTGTTTTAGTGCAAGTTGCTGTGTGTGCGCGTGTGTATGTGTGTAATTGCCAAAAATTACTGAGGTACTCAACTAAAGTGGTTCGCTATATTGTGGACAAAACCAGTTAAGTGTGTAATGAAGACACAACAACAACCGCTCCTTTTGATATAGATAACAGACAACCCTTTTTCAGGAAAAATTGCCACATTGTTTTATGTAGATCTTTAACAGAATATCCACAACTGTATTAAAAGTGAATTAATACATGAAACGATACGGAAAAAATATATAAACGCTCTCAAAATTAGAGTGATTGTGGTAAGCGGGAGTAAATAGTGAATTGGAATTTAACGACTCTTAAATTTTGACCTATGTGGTTCCATAAACAAATGATGAAGGTTTTGCCTTTCCAAAATGTTTTCATTACACGCTGACTGGTGGACAATATCAACAGATAGTGTTAAATTGTTTTATCTTAATGTGATGTGACATTTGGTGCATATATGAAGTTGATGTGTAAAGAAACACTCCTAAGTTGTGTATTACTTTTTCGATAGTTACATAACGTCTAAGCGCTTTTATAGCCACAGTCTACTATATTTCCGTCCAATATTTCCACTTAGTTTGGATACATAACTGACCTCCTGTGTTTACAGATATCTTCAGACGATGAACGACTGTATCGTAACAAGTGTATATAGAAAAGCCACTCATTGTGAACACCTCGTGAAACTGATCTACTTCGTCGCTACTTGCATGGCTGCTAGACTTAAACAATTCGAACTGGACTTTACACTTGATTTCAGTTTTAAGGATTACGGACTATCTTGTTTACCTGTAAACCTTAATAGTTTATGTGATGTAACAGTGAAGACAGTAAGTAAGAAAATGAAATCGCGAATGGTCAAGAACTTTTGTTTCAAGTCATCATGATGTGGAAGTAAAATATATTAATTTGGTTTTTATCACTGTATAAAAGAGAAAATTGTATTTACGCTTGTTTCTTGGAGTTAAGTGACCAGCTTTCAACGTGAAAATTGTACTAAAAACGAAGCAAAGAAAAATGGATTTTCAGTCAGTTGGTTCAATATTGATCCATAGATCAGTTCTTCCCAAACTTTTTCAGCTCTCGGCACACGCTTAATGTCCCAAACTTTTTGCGGCACATGTAAATATGTCCGCATAGCAAACCTAGTGGCATCCCCCTGATAAGACAGGCAGAAATTACTGTTATACTGTGTATCAAGGAAAAAATAAATCCAATTTGAAATTTTAGAAATATATTAAATCGATAATAAATTTACATTACTAAATAAAAATCTCTTTATAACTTGCGAAAATTCCGCAGCACAACTATGTGCCGCGGTTTCCAGTTTGGGAAGCACTGCCATAGACCCAGATTTTGATTTTGGGTAACCTGCATTTGTTTTCAGATATTGCAATGTGCCCAAATGCTTGGTAATTTAATGAAGGTGGCACTTGTTAAAAGAAATCATTATCCATTATTTTTTGGTCCCCTGGTGGTACAACTGTAAGTCTAAAATAAGAGGTTCGATTACCCTCTATGGACACAGCAGATATCCCAATGTGGTTTTGCTCTAAACAACAAAATTTTTTGTGTGGGTCTATTTTCTGTAATTCATTGTAATAATGGATTAATGGAGTCAAAACAATTTATAAATTTTCTGGATCCCTAACTGTTTTTAGGAAACGCAAAATAAAAACTTAAGTAAAAATTAATTTTTTCTTAAATTGGCTGAATATTCTCTGTTTAATATATGGTTGTATTCATATGGTTCTGTTAAACACAGAAAAAATTCAGAACTACAAGCTGTTAAATCATCATCTTTTCTCCTGGGCAGAGTCCAGTTTCCAACATCCGGGACAAAGTAAGAACTGAGCATCCACATGGCAAGAAATTTAATACACATAGCAGCTTTAACCCTTCGCTTGCGGCTTGTGTAAATCTGCTTACCACCCCATGCGCAAAGATTCGCGAATTTTAGCATGGAGCCGTTCAAAATGTTGAGCGCAAAATGCTTGCATCATATGATGTAAACCGCAGTTGAAGGGTTAAAACAAGTACATGGGCCATAACAAACACAAACTTAATCTCTCTCCTTCCTATCCATTAACCGTTTTAACCAAGTAGTACAAGCCATGCGTGAAACGGAGACTTTCAACTTTCAGGATGATGTTTCACACGCGATAATCAAAGTAGTCAATTATTCTTTAAGCGTAGAAAGTTCTCAAACTTCTTTGTTGCGCTACGTTTAGCGACTTACAAATGTCGTTTTCTGTCAGCCGCACTTCACTATATGAATGGTTGGATTGACCGTAATATTATAACGCCCCCACGGCTGAAAGGGCG